TTTTTTTGGCTTTCCAACCAACACTTTTCTTGTGCAGAATGGTGGTGGTTCAACTCCGCAAGCGGAACAACTAATCCCTCTACATTTTGTTCAGTCGTTTTGAAGATGAACTGTACTAAATTATGCCCGAAAGTCAAACCCGTTATTAGTATGCTTTCCATGTAATCCTCAAAAGAGGGTCTTGCGAACGGAACCCCTTTTGCAAACGAAGATAGACTAGAAAGGAATCAAGACTTGCTTTACAACAGGACGTGACAATATCATACCGCTGCAAGACTTGATCCTGGCCCCCATACACCTGTTTAGTATCTGCGTATCGTATGCATTTATAATGCGGTACCACAAACAATGTATTTTCCTCCATACGTTGCTGGCTTTTCGCCGGGCTTCCACGATAGAAAGAGAAAGTCATCGATAGTCTTGCTAGCTGATAATTGAAACTGCAATCACTCCGGCCGACCGCAAATGCTTGCGCCTATTGTATAGAACAAGCACAGGTGGGATTTGATCATGGCTTTCCAAAATTAGTGTTAGGCTTTTTCCTAGATTTGAGAAACGGGTGGTATCAAGCATTGTTGAAGTCGCGAAGTGACCCTACATGTGTGACAAAGCCAGGAACAGCTTTACCTGGCTTCATTTCGATGGTGTTGGCAGAACTTCCCGCCGCAACCACTTGTTGACAGGGTCCCACTTTTGAGAGATTCACAAAAACAAACTATCATTGGCTTCTCTACTTGGCATCACCACATAAGTCATCACCAATTTAAATGAGTGAGTCGTACAGTGACTAGTTACGAGCAGCTATGCTACCCGAACAATATATAACGTCTATTAGATACTGAGCGAAGCCGCGTACCTGAAGTTTTCGAAAGACAGTTGCGCCTTCAAAAGGAGATTTATGATTACCAGAGTTCTTAAAATTTTCTGGACAACTAGGAAACACAGTACACTGGTGACTACTGTCCATCCAGTGATATCCTGACACGATTCTTCTGATTCTGAGCGGCGCACTTTTAGTCAGCAGTCACTGCCTTTACTCTATGTATCTGCGCCACCCGAATAGTCGAACAAGCTGTTGCGGTGGTAGATAGAACTTTTCAGTAATAAACTGAAATAAGACTTTTATCTTTAACTTTCTGCCTAAAGAAAGGCGCCGGCCTTTTTGCACGATGCTTGTGACAAGATGTTTTTTATGCGTTTTCACATATACGCAAATATAAAAACGCACCGGAATTTTACGGAAATGTTCCCTGCCCAAGTACAACTTAAATATTTCAAACTCAGCCGCCAGCCATGCGTGGTTCCTACGTACGGGCAGTTAAAAGTTTTGGCAGGAAAATTGCTCACTGAACAGACTAGGTTATTTTCAAAGAACTGTTCATTTCCTTTATGCAAAATTTACGATGAATTACACTAGTGGACGCAAAAGGTAGGTATAAAGCAACAACCATTCAAGTAGTTAACTACCTGTGTGCTTCAAGTCTGGTGCAAAAATAAATGAGCGCACTGGCAGATCTGATACTATTCAACACGGGTTTTCTCCCCAAAGAAAACTTCGCTGTTCTCAAAGAAAATTTCGCTGTTGCCTTTATCATCATCATTACTTTTATTGGTATTATTATTCATATCTGTTATGTCAAGTCAATTATTTTTTAATTTTTATTTTTAACCTTCCAAGAGATTCAGAGTGTGATTTTTTGCATGCTTGCAGCAAAATTTTTTGCTTGAAAACACTAAATGAAAAATTGTCAGTATTTTTAGGGAAAAGCTTCTAAACTTTTCATTTCAAGTGATTTCTAAATGATAGAATTGAATATGCAAGATCTACTCATCGAAAGCCAGGGTATTCCATTCACTATCAGAAGAGGGAATACCGCAGTGGAAGACGGAATTGCATTAATGTGCATCGTTGCGGTAATTTCTTTTTCTTGCAAATCTGCTCTTTTGTAAAAAAATAACGACCGGGACAACTATTCTCTCTTCTAAAAAAATTATTAAGACCAAATGAAAATCAAAACCCTTACCGTACTAGAAAGGCTGAAGCGCTCTAGCAACTACTTACCCGAACATTTGGACGAGCTTTTGTTTCATCGTCGCATTTCTTCATCAGTGATAACTTCCCTTTGTTTCCTGGTTTTGCACTTCTCTCATTCTGTATAATCCTGCACAGCCGTTCAAGCGGACCCTTGCATTGCACTGGTAGTGTTTCCTGTGCTCTTTTAACACTACGTAAGTACCACCAGTGATTTGCTTTACCCAGTTGTCATCTCTTATTCTTGCCACATGGTCCAGCTCTCCTTTCTGGCATGCACTGCTTTAACAAAAATTACTGGAAAGTTACTGAAAATTACTGGAAATTAACAAAAATTACTGGAACTTAACAAAATTAATGCAATTGGTCGCTTTGAAAGAACATAATTCAGCTGAAAGATGAACGTTGCAGACTTCACTGTTTGGATTAACAACAAATGGATTATCACTTGTAATTACACGGACAAGCAAACGCTTCCATAATGCTTTCGGCATACTTTGCAGCGTTATGTTGATTTGCAATTTGCAAACAATTCTCGTGCTTGCCGTTTGGGGAATCATTGTTCTAATCACGTACGCATCATCACTTTCAGTTTCCTTACGCTAATTGCAAGCACTACTAAAACTTGGCTTGGCAGAATCGGAAGACGAGGTAAAAGCGACGGGGCGGAAGGGAAGGGGTGGTGGTAAAAGAACGGAGAAGGTGGAAAGCGCAGGGTTACTGACTGGGAAGACTTCAGCTGAAGACAGGAATTGGGAAAGACTAGGGTTTATGAGGAGGAGACCTGTCTTTGTGGGTTTTATGTGTTTTGTGCATCTATGTAATGCAAAAACGTATATTATCGAGGGTTGTCTATATGTGTGTCTGTGTGTTCGTCTTTACCGATTTTTCATCTGAAGACCTATAAAAGCTGCAAGGCTGAAACTTTAGGAACTTAATTTACATGCGTGTACGGGC